AATGAAGGCTACGCAGTGCACCTGGCTGCGCTGGAGGCCAGCCACCGCTCCCGCCCCAAGAAGAACAACTCGCGCATGATCCTGCGCAAGGGCAGCTTTGGCCTGCACGCACAGCCCGAGTTTCTGCGCAAGCGCAACCACCTGCGCAGGACCATGTCGGTGCAGCAGCCCGACCCACCGGCCAACCCCAAACCCGAGCGTGCCCAGAGCCAGCCCGAGTCGGACAAAGATCACGAGCGGCCCCTGGCCGCGCTCAGCTGGGCGCGTGGGCCCCCCAAGTTCGAGTCGGTGCCCTGAGGGCCAGGCTGTGCACTAGCAGGGTGGGAGGGGCCCTACCAGGCCACCTGTGGGGACTGGAGGGGCTGCCGTCTCCGACACAGGCCTTTTCCTGCTTTTCCCTCCCGTGTCTGTCCAGCAGTGTCCAGCTAGAGAGGGGAGGGACTCTGCCCCGCCAGGGGGCCCCTGGGCTGCAGGGGGTGAGATCCCGGGGTCTCAGCCCGTGCCTGCGCCACAAGCCCCAGTCAGAGTTGATAGTGCAATCCTGGGGAGCAGGCCAGGCCTGCCTGGAGCTGGAGTGCTCAGCGAGTCAGCCATCTCCTTGAGATCCCGGGCTCTGGCAGGAGTGCTAGGCAGGCCCGAAGGGGGCAGCCCCTGACCAGGGATCAACAGCGGCTGGCGGCTGGCGAGCACAGCTTCTTGGCTACCTGGTGGAGGGGCAGGGGCTTTTGTGCCCGCCCTCCCCGAGACACCCGGCTCCACCTCTGGGCCTGGCTCTCCTGGGGCGAAGCGAACACTTCCCGGGAGTGAGGATGTTGTCTGGGCTCGAGCTGTGTTCTCCTCGGCGTCCGTCCACCGCCCTTGGGGGGTGGGTCTGGTGCTGACGGTCTGTCCATTGTCGCCCTCTTGTCCTCAGTTTCCTCACCGTTCTCCTGGGACTCTTGAGGACAGGCATGCCCATTCCGGGGGGTTCCTGCTGGTGCCCTCCCTGGTGAGGCCCTCGCCGTGGGCTCTGGCCTAGCTGGGCTGGCTTTGAGCCCTGCAGCCCATGGATTGCCCGCTCTGGGCCCTGCCTTCCTTAAGTAACTGGAGGGGTCTCCTCAGAGACCAGGTTTTGACTCCTCGAATCACTTCTGCCCCGAGGCTTTTCAGGCCTCCAGGCCCCTCAGAGTGCCCAGTGATGTACACCTTCCCCCCAGCCTGAAAGAGGGGTTCCGGGTGGGCCGGAGGAGGAGCTGTGCCCAGCCACTTAAAGGGAAGCCCCTGTGGGAGAAGCTGGGCCAGGAGCTGTGTTCCATGGAGAGGCTGCTTTGTCCTGCTGCCCAGGCCTGGTGTCCATGGACAGGGACATCCCCCACCCCCTGAAGGGCACTCATCTTGGTCCCTGGTAGCTCTCAGATGGATTTCTTTATTGGCTCCTGAAAGGCTTGAGCTGAGATCCCAGGGTTCTGGGGGTTTATGTGATTCCCTGTTGTGCCCCTTCCTTCCCCTGCCATTCTGTGTGGTTTCTGCCCTTGGCCCCCACTGGGTTGCCCCTGAAGTTGGCAGGACTCACCTCTCCTGGGGTCTGGGAACACCAGCTGCTGGGCCCTTGGCCTGAGCACAGGTCTCCTCCACCCCCCGCCCGCACTTCCCGGCCCAGGCCCACGCCATTGCAGCCGTGTGGGTCGCCCTGGCTTGCCTGAGCCCCCGGGGGCTGGCCGTGGTCTTCAGCCAGGGTGCCGTGCCAGCCCTGTGGCCCCGGCGGCCCGCGCCCGTACACACAGCCGGCACCTGTGTCAACCCAGCGTTGCTTCCGCTCGATGTCTACCTCTTGCAGCTCCTGTGTGGCCAATGTCCTCCCTGACAGCGGCTGTGGGTGGGGGTGGCTGGCACCCTTGCAAGTTGCCTGGCAAACTGGGTGCCCTGCTGGGGTTGGAGGGGCTTGGGCTCCCAGCCCCCACTCCTGCTTTCTTTACCAGCAGCGTGGCTTCTCTAGTCTGCCAGCTCCTGTCAAGTCCACCCAATAACTCTCTGCTCTACTTCCGGCCCCGCTGTACCCAGAGCTGCTGGCAAGTCTGCTGGGAAGGGGGGCACCCCCCTTAGCTTCCTCTGGTCCCGCCTCATGGCAGTTCACACCCCTTTGACCATTTCACTTTGGCTCTCTGTAAGGCTCACAGGGCCTCCACCGTATCCATCCTTTCCCAAACAGAATTAAACGGGCAGAGGTCGCTTCTCTGAAACGCCACCATCTTTTACAGAAGCCACCGATGCATTCCTCTCAAATGACAACTGGGGTGAGATTCCTGCTGCCCTTTCTGAGCACCCCAGGGCTAGAAACAGGAGTGCTGGGCCCCTGGGCCCCGAGGGTGGGGTTCTGTGGCTCCAAGGACTCACCCGGAGATGCCGATGGTGTACAGTGAGACATTTGTGGCCCCGACGCCCAGGAGCTTTCGCTGTGTGTGAACGTGTCCGTGGGTGGGTAGAGGCAGACCCACACCTGTGCAAGTTCTGTCACAGCAACTCCGTAATCCACATGCACTTTCTACACTAGTGGTTCGTTCAGTCGTGTCTGTCCAGTTCGGTTGGAGAAAGAGAACCAAGTTGTGTCGTTTCCCGAGGGGGTGCTGCTGCCTCGCCCCTCAGTAGTTCTGTAGCCCTGTCCAGAATGTGTTCTAGAGAATCCTTCCAGCTCCTGGGGCGCCTGCTGCCCTGGAGGTGGAAACAGATCTTCCTGCCTGACCAAAGCTCCTCGTTCTCACGTGGCATGTTTGTTTTTCCCGCGGGGGGGGGGCAGGGGGCTGTCCTGCCGCCGACCCCACCCCTCACGGTTGGGAGTTCAGGGAGCACCCTCAGCTAGGCCATGCTCTTCAGGCTTTTTTAACACTCTCGGTCCCCCACCCCCACCCCTTAAGCTCTGCCAAATGTTGAAAATTCCTCTATCATGCATTTGGATGAATGGCCCTCCTGTCTGGGTGCTGGCTGCAGAAGGCAAACATGCCAAGCCCCAGCATCCAGACAAAACTGAGGGCGGGCTCTCTGAAAAGAGGGGAGCCTAGATCTCGTGGCTTTTAAAGTGAACTTTCACCACGTTAGAGCCCACACCTGCATCTGGGAGTGTCCTGCAGACAAAACCTGGCACCAACTTTTGAATGAAAGCTGGACCTCCAGGCAGGCAGAAACAGGTCCCGAGGTAGCCGTGGGTATTCCCTCACAGCCACCCAGAACCCTGCCTGGGAGGGGCGCCTTAAACCACTGAATTTCCCACAGAACCCCTGGGGTTCAGGTGCCAAGTGCTCTGCAAACCTAGTCTCTCTGGCTCTGCCAGAACACACCTTCTCCTTTCCCTCCTGGGCTTGAGGGAACTTTCTTAAAAGTCCTAGGGCTAGGTCCAAGCAGAGAGGCCTAGCCCCGTTCCTGCCCTCCCGGAGAAACCCACAGTGGTTGGGAGGAAAATCATTTCGGCCCCACCCTCCTGAAAAGCAGGGGACACCAGGGCGGGGCCTGACAGGAGGGCAGGCGCTCGCAGGACCCCACTGTCTTTTTCTGTCTGTTTACTCGGTGGTGGCAGCTTGTCTGGTCTGACCATTTGTACGTGTGTGACTTCCAGTATTATCTGTGGTGGGTGGTCCTGTGGTGAAAAGGTTTATTATATTCCTTATGGCTGCCTTGTACAAAATCCGTTAGAAAAGAAAATGTAAAAATATCTGATTTCTAATAAGACCAAACCAATACTATGGAGTTAAACGATTTTTACAACTGGTCTTGATTTTGATGTGAGCTGGTTTTTAACTCTCAAACGTTGTCACTTAAATAAAAACCTTATTTGCCTTTAGAGTGTGTTTGGCTCAGAAATGAGCTCAGAAAGCTTTTCCATGGATCTCTGGCCCTGGGGCGGCGGGGATGGAGGTTGGAAGTTGGGCTGGATGAGGGGACCCAAGTTCCACCCCAACCCACAGTCCCCTGGCCCAGGGCCTGGAGGGACTGTGACAGGGAAGAGATGTCAAAAACAGCAGAGTCTTTATTATGGAAAAGCAATGTTATCTAGGAATGTCACACATTGGTTCTTTCTAATAAAATGACAAAGCAGATTTTTAAAAATAATTCACAAAGGGCAGAAATCTCTACTCCTCCCTGCACACCCACAGTGCCCTGTGCTGCGAATATAAAAATAGGTGTCTCCTGGCCCAGGGTCTTACAGTTTAGAAATTCTTGCCACGCTTCCTGCCAGGGCTCTGTTGGGGGAAGCAGGGACAAGAGTTGGGCCCCCCAGAGCCTCGGCACTGGCCACACACACCAGTTCCCTGCATCCACGCCCGGGCACTCGCAGCTCTCAGATACCTACTAGTTCCTGCACTTCAGCTTCCACATGGAGTCACCACGAGCTCCAGTGTGAGTGTTTCTAAGCCCCAAAGAGGAGTAGAATGGATAGCTCCCCCAATTGCTCTAAAGCTTCCCAGTCACTCCAGTCTGTGGCAGGCGGTCACTGCTGGGCCCAGATGTGGCCTCAGCAGGACCACAGCAGAGGCCCCAGAAGCTGCATCTGGGCCCGTGCCAGCGGGGCCTTGTCGGTGGCAGCTCGTGGGTGCGGCGACTCCTGGGCCTTCCTCCGGGGACTCGGGAGGCGCAGATCCTGGGTGCAAGGGTGTGGTCAGGCAGGGCATGTTTCCTGCAAGACAGAGCTACCTTCCTGCCCTCTGCTGTGTTCAAGGCAGAGGAAGGGGGGACACCACAGCCTTCCAGCCCCCCCAGGATGAGGAGCTGGAAGCCAGCTGTCTTTATCTCTTGGGGCCCTCAGCATGCTTTCTATTACTCTACTAGGCTCATCAGTTCTGTGGGTTTTCCCAGAAAAGATATTTTCTATGTCTCCTTCTCTGCATATGCACTGATGCATGAAGAGGTGGAGGGGATGAAGACAGCGAGAGAGATGCTTGGGAGGAGGGTGTTACCTGAAGGCAGTCTTCAGTTACGAATGAGAGAAACGGTCATGTCGCCACTGGAGATGAGAGAGTGGAAGGGGCAGATGGCCCGGGTGCTGCAGGCAGAGGGACCCTGCCAGCCTGGACCTGGCACCATGGCGGGAACAGGGCCCACCTGACAGAGCTAGCCGGGCCCTGCAGACATCACGGCACTGTACAAGTGGGGTCAGCCCAGACCCAGGCCTGTTCCCAGGCAGAGTCCTGAACAGACAGCTGGCACCTCCATAGCAACCATGTTGCCGCTCCCAATTCCACGCCCAGGCAGAGCATAGAGCCACACTCCAAGTAGGGGTAAGGGCAGTCTATCAGAAACGAGGTGCCCTGTGAGGTCCAGGTGATGGGCAAACGTGGGGACCGAGGCTAGGGGCTCAGCACATCTAGAGTGTACCCTTTAACTACCACCCAGTCTAGATCCTTTGTTCCCTCCCCTGCTGTTGATGAGACTGACACTCAGAGAGGGCTTGGGTCTGGCCAGGTCACAGAGGGCTGCAGCCAGGCCTGTCTAAAAGGGGACCCTCCAGCCATTTCACTTTGAAGCATGGGATGCCAGCTCACCTCTCTTCAGCCACTATGGCCTCACCCAGCTCCTGGGACAGCTTCTGGAGGTGCTGGATTCCGGCCCCCACGGGCTCTAGGTCACTGTCAGACTCGCTGAGCAGAAGGAAACGCCATGCTGGTAACTACTGGGGAATCTATGCAGAAGCCGCTTTCAACTCCCCCCCTGCCCCCCGCTGGGGCCTGGCCTTCCAGGCCCAGGGTGTGTCTACAGGGTGCTGGGAATGTTCAGCCCCAGCTCCTTACTCCAGTTATTGACATCTGAGTGACTGGGAGCACTTGGCAGATCAGGAGGGTTGAGACCCATGAGGCCAAAGTCAAGGGCAGGGGAGCTTACTGACAGGTGAGCCCCGCTGTCCCCCCATTGGAAACTGAGCCTCGGCCTCCAGATGGCTTCACAACCTGCCTTTGGTCTCGCCGGGGGGCCTTAGGTGAGTATGGTGGCCAGAGCTTCTACAGATGGAGGAGCTAAAGCCCCACAGGACTTCCTCAGATTGCCACAAGTGGGGGACAGAGCTGCGTCAGAACACGGCTGTGACTTAACTCAGGTGTCCCTGATGCCAAGTGACCCAAGGGAGGACTCAGAAGCCCCTGGGGTACAGTTAGTGTTTTGGGGGCAAGGCACTGTTTCTTACCTGAGGGAGCAGAGCGGCTCTGTCGAGGAGTAGGGGCTCCGGAAGGCAGCCTCCCTCCTGGAGCGCCGCAGAGGCTGGGCACAGGGACCTATCTGGGCAGAGGGGCGGGGATGCCTCCTGTCCCAGAGGCCCAGGTTTGAGTGGGCGGGGGCTACTCCAGATGGGGCACTCCTCTGATTCAGGCCTTGAGCTGGGGGGCTCCCATCCCTCTGTGCCCTTCTCTTCCTCCTCCTGGCTTTTACCTGGGTTTCCACAAGCCACTTGGTGCCACTTTGGCAGGACTCCTGGATTCTCTGTGGCAGGCACACAGAAAGGTAGGCACAGACAAAGTCAAGGGAGGTGGGGTAGCCCTCAGGCTGCACCTCCAACCCTTCAGCCCACCAGCTGCCCTGCAAACACAGGCAGCTTTGGGGAGCTAGAGGGGAGTGGGATGCCCTGAGTCCCACCCCAGGGACCTGGCTCTGAGCCCTGTGGTCAGAACCACTGTGGCCTCGGAGGTTCCCTTTGTCTAAGTCCAGACCCTCTTTGGGGGTACAAACTGACCTACAGAGTGAAGAGGGAGGCCGAGCCTCCCCCCAGTCTGCCAGGAGATAATCTGCCCCCCCGCCCGTGGTCTTGCTCTAGCCCCCCTCCTCATGGCTCCAGGGATCCATCTCCAGGGCAGCCCTGTGCATGCTCGTGGGGACCTCAACTGCTCAGAGGCCTTCTCTGGCTCCTTGTTGCCCTGAGAGCCAGGCCCTAATTTTTGGGTCTGGGTGAGGGCTGGGGGGCACCTCCGCAGACTGTCTTTGTGTTGGCAGACTAGAGTCCAGAAGTTAGAGCTAGACCAGAGTGTCATCTGGCCATATTGTAAGGTACATGACCTTGGGCAGCATACTTCACTTCATTTCTCTGCTTCTTGGGAAGTTTCTCCCTAGAAAAGGACTTTTCACACCCCACATGTGACACCTTCTTGCCCACAGGCTCATCAGAATCCAGGTCCTTTCAATTTACCTTTCGAACTTTTAGCTCCTAAAAAGTTGTTTATTCCCCTGGGCCAAAATCATCAGGAGCGATGATGATTTCCAACAGGTAGTTAAAAAGCAAGTTCTGATATGCTGACTAGACTTGATTCCCCCCCTGTAGAAAGTTCCTCCCCCTGGCTCTTGGGAGGGTCTAATTACCTTCAGTACACTGAGCCCCACTGTGCTCTGTCCTCTGGCTGCACCCAGGCTAAGTTCCTGCCAGGTCTCTTCTACATCTTGTTCTCCCCAAAGTTGCAGGTCTGATCTCACACTCCCTTCATACTTGCCCTTTTGAAGTGAATTTCATGAAGTCACCTCCTCCGGGAAACCTTCCTGGACTAAACTTTTGTTGGCCTACCGCCACCATTAGCCTCCTGCTTGACTGCTGTGATCATTGTATTGTGAGGTTGATTCCTCCATGACACTATTTTCATTCACTCACTCATCTATATGTTGAGCTGCCAGGAACTGTTGATAATTGGGTACACAAAATTGTTATTTTCACTCATGGAGTCTACATTCCTGGGGGCTTTTTGGGGGTGGCACCTGCCTGGCACCAAGGAAGCACTCCATGGAGGGACAATTAGCAGTCGGCATTACCTGGGACATGGCACCCAAGGCATTCTTAGCTGTGCGAGCAGCAGCCTGGAGGCCTTGCTGTCCCGGCTCTGGAGTTTCCAGACGTTTCCAGGAGGGCCCTGCCCCCAGGTTGAGGCTGACTGCTCTCAGGGGCAACCTCCTTTGGAACTGTCTGCACAGGGAGCCCAGGGCCCCACTGGAGGTCTCCATATGGTTCACTGCAGGTGACAGCCCGTCACTCTCCTCCAGCTGCTTGTGGTCCTGGAGAGATCTCCGGCGTTTGGAGGCCCCCAGGCCTGTCCATCGAGAGGCCATTTGCCTGGTTAAGTGTCTGCTCTGCCCACCAGACCTTGGGGAGGGGGTCAAAAGGCAGGTCAGCAACCCCCCCCAAACCCCACCCCATTCCATCCCCAGGCCCCACAGAGACCCCCCCCTGCAGGGAAAAAGATGGCATGGAGGCCTGTGGGGTGGGTAAATGGCCCAGGCTGGGGGTGGGAAGCTTTCTGGAAGAGGGGTCAACAAGGCCCAGAAACGGGCAAAGGTTGAACAAAGCGGGTCACCATTTCTTGCGAGCTCTTAGAGCAAGTGGGTGAAACAGCTATCTTCATCCCGGCCCCCTTTTGGCTCTGGGCCTCAGAAGCAGAGGGCGTCTCACCACTCAGCACTTGCTATAACGACGCAAGATCTATTTGTTCGTCCCCCCCCCCCGACTCCGCCCCCAAACTTGTCCTGACCCAACAAGCAGCCCAGACCCCAGCGCATGAACCAGACACCCCGATTTTCATCTTGCAATACCCACACATCCCCCATGCCGTGCCCGTCCTAATTAGATGTCTCCTCCTCGTCCAAGTCCCTTTGAACAGAAACCCCACTACGTCCCGGCGGCACTCACCCAGCAGCCCAGAGAGCGGTCGCGAGCCTAGCACAGCTGCTGTGCTCCCACTCCAGCCGATTTGAAACTCTGCGCGGATCCGCCCCCGGCCCGCTCCTCACAGCCGATTGGCTCGGTCTCCGCCCCGCTGCCGCGCAGGAGATTCGATTGGCTCTCTGCTCTCGCGGCTGTGAATCCTGCCCCTCGGATTGGTCCGACCGCTCCCATTCAACCCGGAGGACCCCCTTGGGGCTTGGCGCCCTGCGACCCAGCGGCTTTGTATCCGCAAAACCCTCCTCGCGGCCGCGTGAATCGGTGCCGCTGGCCGGTTCCCATGAGGCCACCATGCCCTGTTCGCCCTGGCGCCTCGCGCCTCCGGGAGCTGTAAAGGGGCCGGGAGGAGCGAGGATCCCCGGTTGGGAGGGACCCCTCCCTCCCGCCTGGACAATTGGCTTTTCTTCCTAAACCAGTGGTTTCATCAGAAAGAGCCGGTGCTGGGAGCTTGAGGCCCTGCTTTCCATGGAGGTTTTTGTTCAAACTTCCCTCGTGACCCTCTCTCTCTCAGAGACAAAGCACTGCCCCTCTGTGTTCTCCAAAGTCGCCACCCACACACTCACCCTGAAAAAGCAGATGGATGGAGACTACCTCCCTGCCTCCGCCAAATCAGCCCGCACCCCGCTGTCCCACAGACCCTCTCCTCTCTCCAGTTGACTGGCCCCTACCTTTTAGCAAACCACATGCCAAACACCCCACTTAGAAACTCCCCATCTCACCGCCCTCTTGTGCCCCGAAGCCACTTTTCTGCTCTATTTGCTGGTTTCCTTGGTGCTGTCCTCTCTGGTTCCCACATCTCCTGCCAGGGTCTGCGCTTCCTCATCTCTGGGTATTCTTCCCAGCTCCATGATGATAGTGGCCAACATAGACATGTCACCAGGTACCAGCGTCCAAACCCTTTTCGTTACACAAATGTGCACATTAGTCCGTGGTGGCCTTAGTTAAATGAGTTCCCGAGGTTAGAAGAGCATTCCCATGCATGCCGGGTCTGCAAAACCCAGGACCTGACCTGGAGGGCGTCTTCATGGGAGGAAGTGTTGCTGCCTCACCCCAGCCGGAGGGAGGAAGAGGTGTCATTACCCAAAAGCCCTTTCAAAGGCTATATAAGGGGGTGCTGGCTTGTGGTTGGGACTTAAGCCTCCCGGTGAGAGTGTGCTAAGACTGTTCTCACCAGACTGCCTTTTGTGGTTGTTTCTGATTAAATCCATTTTGTTGGTGAAGTGATTGCTTTTTTTTTTTGAGGTCAACAGAACTCCTTTGACTCTCATTGCAGTCTCTGACTAGATGAGGAGACCAAGGTCGGGAAAGGTTAGTTGGGTCCAAAGTATGAAGCAGGGCCAAGAACTCAGTCAACTGGGGAACAGACACTCCATCACCCCACCTCTCCTTACAATGCTCCTCCTCCCAACAGGTGTGTCCACCCACCTCAGGTCCCCATCTCTCCAGGCACCTTAAACCAACACACCCCAACCTAGTCGCCCTGGTGTCTCTCTATCCACATCCTTCCCTCATGCCTGTCCAATACCTACCAGTGGCTGTGATAGATTCAACCATGAGCTCAAAACTAAACAGCAACTTCCCCATCCCCAAGGAACTCCCAACTAAGGCATGGGAGAGACAGGAGTGAATCAAATAGCCAACCATTAATCAAAGAAAGTATGATGTTACTCAAAGCAGAGACCCGGGTAATGAGATGACCAAAGACAGTGTGTGTGTGGGGGGTGGTGGAGGGTGTGCAGGGAGGTGTCTTGCATAGGCAATATGTATCACTTCAAGGGGACCAGCACTCAGAGTGACATCCAGCATACCACATGTGTCACCAGAAATGAGGTTTCCTGGAATGATGCTCAGTGTGTGACGCATGTTGACATTTCATTATTTCATTCCTAAAGGCCGCGGTAGCAGCTGGCTGCATCTGCTCGGCTCCAGTTAGCCTGTCCCCTTGTCCCCAGTCAAACTGTCTCCCAGTTGTTAGAGTGTTTCTTCCCAAACCTGTTTATGCCATTTGGCGATTGTGAGCAGGGATGCTAATCCATGTCTATTGCCAGTGAACTATGAGGGGGTTAAGGGAGAGTTGTTATTTTTACAAAAACTAAGGTGTAAGTCTGAAAAAAACCCAGTGAAGGTGAAACACACAGAAACATACTTTCTTAAATTGGGTGTTCTGGTGACAGGGTCTGTCGGCCGTCCAGTGCCTGGCGCTTCACGGGCATCATCAGAGTAGCGGATATTCTCCCAGCCCGTCCTGTGTGTGTGCTAAGTGCATTTCCTTTCCTTATCCTTCCTTAATCCTCATGGCAACTCTACGGAGTAGGTGCTATTTTTATTCCCAAGACAGCTGACAAAACAGATTCAGAGGGGTGAAATGTCTCTCCCAAGACCGAATGGAGAGTCGGAGCTGGAATGTGCATGGGGTGTCTGACTCCGAGCTCTAGATTCTTAACACAGCCTTATCCGCCTAGGGTGGGTGAATGAATGCCAGCATTTCCACCACGCAGTTCTCCACCTGCTTCCCCAAGAGCCCTAATGGCAGGCCAGGTGATAGAAAAACAGTTTCCATGGCAACGAGAGAAGAAAGAAACATTTTCTTCTGAATAAGAAGTCTTTCCCCTGGGCCATGCCCACTGAGTGCTAGAGGAGGGGCTGGAGGAGGATGTGCAGGGGTGAGCAGGCTTCCAGTTGAGGGGTGGAGGCTGCAGGGCCTTTGATCCTTCTGGAAAGGAGGAAAAGCAGTAAGTTGTCCCAAGGGGCCCCAAGGGCTCCCTGCCCAAGAGCGAAGCTTCGGCCAGTTTCCTTGAGCACACGTTGCTTGACGCCAGTCTGGCGGAAGAAGCAGGCATTAAGCTCTGCCATTGCCAGGGATGTGCATTGTGAGGGGACTGTGAGAGGGTGTAAGGGGACAGGGAACCCCACTTGAACTGGGGCCAGGCGGGCTGCCCTTAGCATATGGTGTTTCAGTGGAGGGGTATAGTAAGGGGGAATGGTCTTCCAGGAGAGGGATCTGCAAAGACCAGTTCTGGGGGGCCAGTCCCCGGGCCAGGGCAGGCTGAGCAAGGGGAGGCGGGACCTGCCTGGCAAGAGCAGGGGCTGCAGGAACCCCACCAGGGACTAGCTGATGGTTTTTCCTGAGGCACTGAGAAACTTCCGAATTTTAAGGGTGTGGGGCTATTAGAGTTGGATTGTCATGAAGTCCATTAGTCAGTTATTTGGGGGGCTAAGGTGGAGCTGGGGGCTCTGCCTGAAAGCTGCGGCCCAGACATCTCAAGCTAAGCAGTGCAGTTGGAACCTCAGCATGAGCTTCAGCACCCCCTTCTCCCCTGCCGCCGCCTCATGGGCCCCTGCTCTCTGCAACCCCTGTGTCAAATCAATCAGCTCTACCTGGGTTTCTCCGCCATCCCTCTATGCCCTTTGATCCCCCCCATACAGGAAAGCAAAGGAGAGCTAAGCCGTGCAAGACAGGGTCAGACCTTTGTCTCCCGTGGTGAGTTGTGTCGCTGACAGAAGTGCCTAAAACAGTCTGCTGTAAGGAAAATAGTCGCGCCTCCCCACCCGCCCCAGGTTCCCCTTGCTGCCATTTCAATTACCTGAGGTCAAAGACTATTCAAAAATATTACATCAACCAGATATTTGGGGAGCGATGGATGCAATATGTAGCTTTTATGACAGTATATAGTTATAATTGTTCTGTTTTATTGTAATGTTGCAGTGGCTAATTTCTTAATGTGCTTGACTTAAATATAAGATTTGTCATAAGCACGGGTGTGCAGGAAATGACAGTGTAACAAGGGCGATGTTTGGGCAGTCTGAGAGGGGTGTCTGAACAGGGGGTGTTTGGAACAGACCTCCTTGGGTTGGGGGATCTATGCCACTTAGGAAGCAAACTCCCATGTGACCATATAACATGTGATCATATCACTTGGGTGAAGAACCAGAGCGTTGCCAGGGCCCCGGGAATAGCCCCTACCCCCCAATTCCTCCTCCCCTGTCCCCCATTTATGGTGGTCACCTTTATTTTTCCTTGTAGTTTTACCATCAAGTTTCCCTCTTACCTCCCAGGCACCTCTAGGTTGCTCTATATCTGGAAAAAGGGTGAAACAGAGAGGAGTATCTCTGCACCCCCACTTTTATCTTCTGTACCCTGAGGCGGTTGGAGCTGGGCTTGGTTAGGGGGTATCTGAGCACTCAGGAAGGGGTCTGGGTTCATAGGTCCAGTTGGCTCAGGCTTGGCCTCTTCTGTGACAACAGCGCCTATCAGGGGTGCTGGGTATTGGGGTCCCACTCACTGTTCTAGAGAGGCCTCTCAACTTTCCAGCGAGGGAGAGTTTCATTTTGCTGTTTCAGTTGGGGAAGTAGAGTGACCCAAGTTTACACGGTCAGAGAATAAGTGGGGCCAGCCTTTGAAAGGAGTTCTCTCTGGCTCCCAGCCCAGTGTTCTCATCTCTCCCTGTGGCAGGGTCCTGTGACCCCTCTTCCTTTAAAAAGTTAGTCAAAGTGGGCCCTCCCTGGTGGCACAACAGGCTAAAACACAGCACTATGAAGCTCTTGCAGCCACTGCAGTAGGAGTTCGAGCCCCAGCCAGGGAGCTGACCCACATGACACAGCAGACCTGGCCTGCCCGCTGCTCTGCTCAGCAGTGTATTTCATTCTATCTGCCTGTTCTGCTCTCCACTCTGTCTCTGGTGAATCCTCTCACCCCCCACACCCCAGTTCTGTATGCATAAATAAATAAACTTAAAAAAAGAAAAAAGCCAGTCAAAAAATGGTTTTGCCGGCTCAGCATCCCGGTCGCCAGCGGGAACCAGGGGAATATAGGCATAAAAACTTGAAGTGGCCACAAGGTGGCACCATACATTTCTTGGACACCAGAGTGGGTCCATTGCTGGGAATAATCTCTACCAGGTCCCAGGACCCAGGGCTAAGAGGCCCCAAGGGAGAGGAGAGAGCCCCATTGCCTCTAGTAAGACCTTCTAGGGGAGGCAGGACTGGGGAAAGTTCCTCAACTTGCCCTAAACCTGCCCCCCTTTTCTTATTCTGTTTAGAGTCCTCCTAAGTCAGAAACTCTTCCTTCCTCCACAGTGTCACAGCCTCCTGTGGGCTGATCTTGGGGAGGAGAGGTGGAAGAAATAGGAAAAAGGGACAGCTGAGACATCAAAGGCCCCAGAGCCTGGGCCTGGGGTCAAAGGGACTAAGAATGTGAGACCAGCCAGTGCCCCAGGACCAGTGGGGTGAAAGGGGCTTCAGGTCTCCCACCTTCTCCCCCTGTGGTGGCCTGAGGCCTTGTCCTGCGCTCACTGGAGCTATGTCTCTCCCTTGTCTTCTCTAAGAAGCTCCAGCTGACTCTTCCCTCCATGGGGTGGAATAAAACTGAGGTCTGATGCAGAAAAGGTGGCTGCCGGGCAGGGCCACGGTGGAGGGCGGTGGTGGCATGGAGGCAAGGCTGCCTGGTGGCCCTGGGGAGCAGCCAGCGGCCACCCGGGGACACTGCCTGACCTTGCTGCTCTTAGCCACCCCGCTCCTGGCCGGACAAATCCCGGGCAGGCTGTATCAGCGCCCCTCCTGGTGAGATTATCTCAGCCTGTGCGACTCCTGCAGCCATGGATGCCGCGCTGCTCCTCAACGTGGAGGGGGTCAGGAAGACCATTCTGCACGGGGGCACAGGGCAGCTCCCCAACTTCATCACTGGATCCCGGGTGAGTGGGGCCTGCTCCTACCCCGGGGACAGACAGGCCCCTGTGGCAGCCTTCTGCACTCCAGCTGGGCCTTGTGGCTTACAGATGGCCTTCAACTTTGCCAGTAGAAGGCTGGCAGGCCCTTCTTAAAGCTATCAGCCCCCAGGGCGTCTGGGAAGCTCTGGATTGGTGCCCAAAGTACAGGGCATTGTCTGTACTTTGCAAATTAAACTTTAGTGTGGGATGCAAACCCTTGGGAATTTCCTGGAGTGTGAAAAGAGGGTCCTTATAGGTCATGGTATGTGCACACAAATCTGTGGAGACCTTCCCTGGGCTGATGGGGTGACTGGGTATGTGGCCTCACCAGGGCTTATTTAAGGAAGGACTCCTTGACCTGCAGAGCGGTAGAGACCCACAGGCTGGGGTCCCTAGGGGTGGGGGGGGTGGTTCCTCTGGGGGAGCACCTGCAGGGTGGGGCTTCCCCTGGAGTCTGAGGTCCCCGATTGGGGTGAGGAGTGCTGACCCCTGAGGCCCGTCCCTGGAGTCAGTGACAGTGGTGTGGCTCCTGCTGGGCCTCGGGGTTGCGTCTAGACTGGGTCGGCTCTCCTGGTGACCAGGTGACCTTTCATTTCCGGACCACAAAATGTGATGAGGAGCGGACGGTGATCGATGACAGCAAGCGGGCGGGCCAGCCCATGCACCTTGTCATCGGGAATATGTTCAAGCTGGAGGTGTGGGAAGTGCTGCTGACGTCCATGCGGCTCAGCGAGGTGGCTGAGTTCTGGTGTGACACAATCGTAAGTCGGCCTTGCTGGCTGTCCTCTGAAGGCATTCTGGGAGCCCCTACCCTTGGGCCTCTGGCCACTTTCCTGCCTCCTGCCTGCTCCCACCAACACTGCAAAGTCGTGTTCCCACTTTCTGCACTCTTACAAGGCACCCAGACAAGTTAGCCTCCTGGTTCTGTGCTCAGAGAGAAACAGGAAAACTCACTGGCCTTTACACAAACATTTCTTCTGGGAAGTTTCAGAAGCTAAAAAAGTCAACAAAAAATACCCCAAACTTCCAAATATGCATCAACCCACCCCCACCTGCCCCCCTTCCTCCTCCCACAAGGTTAAAGCACATTCTAGACACCAGATATTTCACCTGTAAATGCGAACATTGGTAATTTTAAAATGCAAGGACATTTTAAAAAATCACCTCAATAGCACCATTACATCGTGAAAGAGCCCCAGTAATCGTCCCGGGGCACCTAACACTCAGCACTGTTGACATTTCTCCTTATTCTTAACTCCTTATTTATTCCTTAGTGTTGGTCTCGCTCAGGATCCCAACAAAGTCCAGGCATGCACGGCTTGTCCATGCGCCTCTCAAGTTCTCATCTGTGCTGCTTTTCCCTCTTTTCTTCCTTGATGTGGAGTGTTCGAGGAGCTGGCCGCTGGTCCTGTAGGGGTTCCCACATTCTGATTTTGTGGGTTGCTTCACGATGGACTTGCCTCACATGTTCCTCTAGAAGTCACCCCCACTTCCACTGGGAGGCTCTGCCTGTGCTCACCTCTACTGCTCTGTTAGGGAAGATGTGATGGCAGGGTGGCGGTCCAAGCCTCCAGTGATGGAGGCCCAGCTGCTTCATTTCGGCAGGGACCAAGGGCCTTGTGAGAGAGCAACTTGAAAGAGAGAAAGAGAAAGAGAAAGGAGAGAGAGAAGAGGGGGACAGAGAGAAGAGGGAGGGGGGAGAGAGAGGAGGGAAGGGGAGAGAGGAGAGAGAGAGGGGAGGGGGAGAGAGGAGGGGGAGGAAGAGGGGGGAGAAAAGGGGGAGAGAGGAGGGGGAGAAGGGGAAAAGGCAAGAGAGGAGGAGAGGGAGGGGAGAGGGGGGAGGAGGAAGAGAGGAGGGGAGAGGGGAGAAAGAAGGGAGGGGGAGGAGGAGGGAGGGAAGGGGGAGAAAGAGGAGAGAGGACGCACCACTGAGTTGAACTCTGCTGTCACTAGCAGCGGTGACCCTGGGAAGTCCTTTCCCCTCCGGGCACGGTGCTTCCTCACCTACTCACCGGTGAGCCCCATGTCGGGGCTGCGGTGGGATCACAGGCTGGGCTGTGCACTACACGCAAGGGCAGATCACACGCCCGGCAGTGATGAAATGGCAGCAGGGAGGATTTTAGGACTTAACTTCCTTGTTCTACTCATGAAGAGATGGAAGACTGGAGAAGGAAAGCCGCGGGGCTGGGTGCCCCAAGTTAAGGGGCGGGGCCGGGCCCCTCCCGGCGGGGGCTGTCCGAGGGCGCGGTCAGACGCAGTGCCGTCCGCTGCCGCCAGGGGCCGCCACCGCCGCGTTAATCCGTCCCCACTCAGCAAATACTCCCGGAGCAGCTTGTACCAACCAGTGCCCCCGTTATCATTCATCCGGACGTTTTAAATTTTTAAAAGATGTTTTACTTTTCACAAGTCCAGTTTTCAGAAATAGACTTCTTTGTAACTTCAAACGATGTCTATTGACTTTGCTGACCAGGAGGGAGGTGGGCGGTGTGTTAGCCACCTTGGTCACCAAGCAGGGGGCTGCCTCCCTGGGATGTGTATTTGCTGAATGCACAGAGGAATGTCAATAATTTCTTGACTGCTTGATTGATTTGTTGCTTGCAAAACCACAAGTCGCTGTTATTCCCATATTGTGAGCCTGTTTCTTGTGGCGTCTGTGTTCCTCTGGCCACATCAACAGTCGCACGAGGGCACTGAGTACCTCACAGGCTCACAGCTTTCATGCCCTGTGACTGTGAGTGTCCCCAAAGGCTCCTCACTTCTCCTCTTCCCAGCCCATAGTTACTGGAGTGATTGCGCATACGTAGACACACATGCACACAGCTTTGAGTCACTTACCTACCCGCACAGTTGACTTTGATTCATGCTTCTGCCTGTCCACACACCCAGGCATCAAGCCACCCTTTCTTCCCTTCAGGGAAGACTTTTCATGATCCAGTCTCTCACTCTAAAGCTCACCTACATCCACCCATGATCACGTATGCATGCCTGCATGTGTGTATCTAATCAGAGGACACGCATGCTATCCCAGATAGGCCTATGCTGGGTGTTAGGAAAAAAGCAAAGTCTTCATCCCTCCGTAAACTTAAATTCTAGATGAGGAGCTGACACCCAGGCAGTTACCATGTGGGCAGCCATTGCCATGAATTAAATAAGTGAGGACAGAGTGCTTGAGGCTCAGAAAAGAGGGACGTTAACTTCTGCAAGGTCTTCTTAAAAAAGATGACTTTGGTCAGGGTTTTGAGGGATGAATAGGAGTTCAGCAGGCCTAGAAGTGGGGAGAGAGGTTTGAAAAGGCTTGGCATATTTTCCCCTGTGGGACATTTCTCCATTTAAGGATGTGAGCTTTGGGATGTCTAAGCAAGCAGGGGAGCATGTTGTCTGGCTGACGAAGGACTCAAGAGATCCTGGCTTTCCCCAGGCTGCGGCTTGTCACCCCTGCAGAGCCTCTGCTTGGACAGTCCTCACTGAATGACCTTGAAGTGTAGGCCTCAATTAAAGGCTTTGGGAAATTCTGCCTGAAACGTATTCCTCACTGTCCCCTTGACCTCTCCCCAGGGAAGACATTGGTCTCTATGGGATATTTTGCTGGCACCCAGTCTGGTGAGGATTTCAAACTCAAACTGCCCCCAGGGCCAGGAACCTCCATGTGGGTCTTTCAACCCTAGTGAGGCGGCTGGATGGCCGCCCTGTGGACCGGCTGGGCCCAGTAAAGCTGGGGAGACTGTGATTTTGAGACAGGCAGAAATCTGCAGCAGCTTGTGCTCAGTGTTTAAATATTGGCCACTAAATTAAACAAACAAATGCAAACCAACCCACAATGTGAAGGAGGAACCCAATCAGCTGAACATGGCCAGCATCACATCTGTTTGCAGCCTGTGCTATAGCTACAACCCCTGTGAGGCCAGTGATCTTGGGTCTCCCCACCCCTCCACCCCCGCTTAGCTCCATGGACTGGACAAGCAATCCCTCCCATCCCCTCCTGTCCCTGCTGACGCACCCTGGCATGGATGTGGGACTCTGGCGTTCTTCTGGTCTTCATCCTCCTTCCTGGGATTTCTTTCCCGTCCTGAGGCCACCCCACAGCCCACCAGGGGACGGGCATCTGGCAGTACTAATGTGGCCAGTGGTTGGCAGGACAAGGCCTTGCTTGGCTCTGGGTCTGAAGCTCCCAGTGGACTTGCTGGGGGTCCTGGCCTTCGAGCAGTGGGTGCAGGGGCGCCCCTCTCTGCAAGCTGTTTCTGGAGCCCCTCCCCCACCCCCATCTGGCCACCAGTCCAGCCCAGCCTTAATCCCATCGGCTCAGCGGCCATCTGGTCATCTCGCTCACAAAGAAGCTGAGGGAACTTGGGGCTAATCCTGGCTGGTGGCCACGGCGGGGTGACCTTCATCTTCAGGCTGATGGCCATGTGGGTGGGTGACTTCGAGGCCAGGTTGCCCTGTCACTGCCCTTTCACTTTCCCACTAGTGTCTTCACTGGTGTTGCCGTATGGGAGCCTGAGCAGGGTCCTGCCTGAGCCAGCAGGACCTGACCTGAGAGTGTCAGGTCATCTGTGGGGGAGCCCAGTTCAGGGGCAGAGTGGTGGAGGTCCAGCATGGCACAGGCCTCGTCTGAGGTCAAGTGGCTCTTTGGCCAGCTGTCCTCTACCCCGAGGGTGGCAATCACAGCTCTCAGTACTGGGTGAGGCTGGAGTGGGCTTGACTCACATAGGGGACCGTTAATCCCTGCAGCAGCCCTGCCCCTGGGCTGGCACCCCCCGGGGACCAACTGGGAGAGGTGCAGTGACTGATTTCGCAGGAGCCCTGCTCTTTCCTCTGCTCTCTACACCACCCTCCCTGCAACCCAGACTCCTGGTCTCCGGGCACGTCTCTAGGAGGCAGGCGTGTGAGAGTTGACCCAGAGGGCCAGCAAGGGGCAACACGGCCCTGAGGCTAGAGCAGGCTGAAGCCCAGCTCTGTCATTTCTTGGCTGAGTGACCTTAAGCCAGTTATGTAACTTCTTCAGGTTCCAGTCTCCTCATCTGTAAATGGAGACAATAGTGCCTCCTTTGCTGGGCTACCTAAGGACAGAAGGAGCTTGTCCTGGGGCATTGAACTGCACTCATTAAGGGGTGTGTGGGGAGTGGGGGTTATGGTGGGCTGGCAGGAATCCTGCTGTGAGGAGCTGAGTGCCCTCTGCCCTTCCCCACAGCACACCGGGGTCTACCCCATCCTGTCCCGGAGCCTGCGACAGCTGGCCGAGGGCAAGGACCCCACAGAGTGGCACATGCACACGTGCGGGCTGGCCAACATGTTCGCCTACCACACACTGGGCTACGAGGACCTGGACGAGCTGCAGAAGGAGCCACAGCCTCTGATCTTCCTGATCGAGCTGCTGCAGGTGTGACCTGAGGGCAGGGGCCGCTCAGAGAGCAGGGGCCCAGGGCACCTGGGGGGGGGGCGCCCCACTGGACCTCTCCCACCTTCTCTTAGAGAGCAAGGAAGAGTTCATACACCCAGGAGAACTAGAATTTGACCTCCCCTCCTCCCAAAGTCCTCTGCCTAGTCCAAGGGAAAAGCCCTTTTGGGACCAATTTTTGAAAATGTGATTCGTTTTTTATTTTAGAAGCATTTTGCAGAATTATTGTTTATCTACTTCCATTTGTGCTTTCAAAAATGTAGAGTTATGTCCTCATCTCCAGTCCCTGTGGTTTATGGTTTCCGCTGGGAGCGGCTGCCTGGAACTACCCACACCTTCTCACCTGGAACCCAGGCTTGTGGGGCTTGTGTGAGGTCCCAGCTGGGTCAGGGCATAGCTAGTGGGCTAATGGCTGAGGCTGAGGCTTGGTCTGTGGCTACATGGTGAATCCGGACAGGAGAATTGCATCAACACAGGACCTTTCTGGCGGGCTTGAGCAGTTGTGCGGTTTGCACACTGCGCCAGGGCGTCACCTGCTAGGCTCGCATCACAGACACCTCAACTTATGTGTCTGGGTGATCTATCGAATCCCTGGACATTGATATTGCACCAGGTCGAGGCCCCGAGCGAGTACCAGCGGGAGACCTGGAACCTGAGCAGCCAGGAGAAGATGCAGGCGGCGCCCATCCTCCACGGAGAGGGAAACCGGCTGTTCAAACTGGGCCGCTACGAGGACGCCTCCGCCAAGTACCAGGAGGCCATCGTGTGCCTGCGCAACCTGCAGACCAAGGTGCCAGGCTGCCCCCTGGGGCGGACGCAAGGCGCCGTGGGGGGGGGGGCGGGTCAGACCCGAGCTCCTGCTGATCCATTCCCACCCCCAGGAGAAGCCTTGGGAGGTGCAGTGGCTGAAGCTGGAAAAGATCATCAACACCCTCATCCTCAACTACTGCCAGTGTCTGTTGAAGAAGGAGGAGTACTATGAGGTGCTGGAGCACACCAGCGACATCCTCCGGCACCACCCAGGTGGGTGGGGCGGGGCCAAGATGGGGCGGGGCCGGGGTGGGGCCGGACCCGGGCAGGGCTGTCCCAGGGCCAGGGTCACCCACTGAGGCTTGAATGGACTTCAGAACCTGCCAAAAGCCCAGACACTGTTGCCACCCAGCAGGGTAATGAGGGGCGGGTGGTGAGGGGGACTCATGGCAGGGAGTACTTAGTCTGAGCACCTCAGGCTCCGCACAGAAGTGGCTCTCTAAACTCAGCATTTGTGGAGCAGGAAACAGGCCTCAAAAAAGACGGCAATCAGAGAGGATGTACTAAGTGAATATTTTCATGTAGAGAAAATATTAATATTTACTTGTATACTTTGCATGTATTTAACGTGCAATTAATATATAATTATCTATGCAGCACCTACAGAGATGATGCCACTAAATATGTGATCCCAGGTACAGAGGAGGTGTTAGACGCGAGCTGTGTGGCTCTGGTTTGTGAAGAGCGTGATTGACATCACACCCCGTCTGCCTGGCCTCTGCCTCTCACTGGGCAGCCACCCTGCGCTGACCTTTCTACCTGAGGCCTATTCCCCCTGGCCCCCCCCTCCCTCCCTGGCCCTCCACCATCCTCCCTGGGCCTCCCCCATCTTCCCTGGGCTCCCCCATCCTCCCTGGGCTCCCCCATCTTCTGTG